CATTATAAACCAAACTAGAAACCTATCATTGCAGTGTCAGACTTAGGCAGATCGTACACTGATACATCAGAGCTCCTGATTGCGATCGCGATTTATCTCGCTGATGCATTTCAGAATTGATACGTAAACGTTATCACAAATAGGTCGATCTGAAAAGTCGAATAGAATTCTCGCGGAGTTTCCAGATCAGTCTAAATACTGTTCAATACACATCTATTCTACCTGCTCATCAACTCCATCCATAAGAAGCATTAACTTTTAATTCTACAGAAAATAGGTATTTGAGTTTCATCGTTATTCGTATGAGAGGAGCCAACAATGGCAATTTACTAACGAACAGACGCTACTTCTAGCTGCTCCCTTACATTACATACCACTTCGTTTAAAAAGTTTTTACTATGGCGGCCAATAGCTCATCTATTACGACTGCCACGCCTCATTAGATAGATTGTGGACGATGTAGACACGGGCCATTGCTATGCGTTGCATAGTCAGCGAGTGCGTGTGTCGCTAACCTAGGCGTATACAAATGATTTCGCGTTCGTTGAAGCTGATGTCTATGAGAGCCTGTGTAAGTGTTTGCGTCAACACGTAGATAGGTGGACGATGCAAACCTGTGTGACCTACCTTAGAACCCTTTCATATGTCTCAATAGCCGAGTGTGGGCGTTTATGTGTTCGTACAACTCGGGACACGATCCTAGATCTGTACTAGTGGACACCTTAGTAAAGGACTAGAAAAGTATTTTCGCGCTGCTTGCGCCTTGTGTAGAGTACGAATCGACTAGACTTAAAATCCCTCTGTTTCTTTATTTTATATGCGATATGATGCACAAACTGTTGGAAATCCATTGAACAATAACACCTTTGTTTTGCGATGCGTTGCTTATTCTAGTCAGCAGAATAGGCAAGACCACACAGGTAGACAAATAGGGCTCGAATAGATGCTTCACCCTCTGGAACGGAAGGGACCCTAAGGAGTTTGGCGCTTTCTCTGGCGCCGGCACGTTGGATACTATATGATACGACCGTTTTGCAGAACCACTGGTACAGGCGTCCAAGCGTATTGATCGCTTAATATCGCATAGGTTGTGCCCTGATGGAGAACTATTAAATCTGCTGCATCTAGCCTACGCATCAACGCCTTCATGTTGATAGCTCAGGAGCTCAGCACCTCAGTTCATCCCTTGTTCATCGGTTGCCAGCCATCCTAGTGTGAAAGGCCTCCAGCCCGTGTCTACTGAGAGATTACGCTGACGTCATAAGTTCCTGGATAAAAAGAACTGAAGGCTAATGGGCTCACAAAACTTCGCTGACGCCGTGGGCTCAATTTTATCGGATATGGCTGCTTTTAAAACGTATGAACAACGTGAGCATTAGGCTGTTTCCAACTGAATAAGATAATTTTTATATCAAACTTTGCTACCCTCCGCTTGGTCAACATTATAGCAAGCAATGTTTGCTGAATGATACCTCAAACAGATAGTCTCGCGGCGGAACATTACCTGGGTATGCAACTTACAACAGATACAACATGAATAGCAGTCTTTTCTAATGCAAAAAAGATCTCGTTCCGAGACAAAATGCATTGCAGATATGGCACTTATGGTTACTATGTGCATTCATGGCACGAATGTATGTATATATAGTTTGTTTCGCTTGCTCAGCCCCGATCTGGCTCGCATTCAACTTGCCCTAGAGCCAAACAAACAGTTGCCCTCAAGTGTCATTGATTTCGCACAAGCTGATATTAACTAGCGCGTGCTTCATGAGAGAAAAAACAAAAACTCGAATGTATAGTTTCTCTTGTTTTTTGCCTTATCAAAGTTTCTCGTATTACCACGTCGGCTAATGCTACATGAACATATATAGTAGAACTCAGGCCTGAGTCGTTTTGTCACAATGCTTTCCGCCTATAGAGACAGCATTGTGGCATGACATTGTGCTATCCCAACAGCACAATCATCTGATTCCACAAGCTTTCCAGGCTCAAGGAGGCGGAGTTTGCCCATTATGCTCTTCGTAGCGCGGCGCGTGCTTAACGTTCACAGAACTTCAAGGACGCCGTTCTTAACCCGCTCGCTGGCCGGATTAGCACGCGCTGTCAGCCGTTCCCGAGCTTCGTTCAATACATTATAGATGTTTTACAATATTGGAAAGGTGTATAATACTGATAGCGAAAGCCTTGTATAGGACAGATATGACAGGACATTGCCTGTCTCTCGCACTGTTCATGATTCTGTCGTGGATCGATTACGACAGGCAGGTTTCAGTGTCCATTTATCACGTTGCTACTTCATGTACTTGTTGTAGCATTCCCAAAGAAACAGATATGGTAATAGTTAAAGAATTTAGTTTTTTTTGGGTTTTTGTTTGACAAATATTCGGTTTCTAATAACAGCCATCACAGAAGCGCGATAGCAGCGCGAAACGTACTGCGCATAAACAATCTACACTTGAGCCTTAAAATAAAGATGATTCAAATAGTTCTTGCTAATAAATCGTTTGTGCTAAAGCATTACCGCAGAAATTACCGGCGTACGATACGCTGTGACTCGTACCAGCCCACTGTTGGTATGAGGACACAAAAAACAATTCTATGTCTGCACGCCTACGTTGATTGGCATTAATTGTACATCCGTTAGCTATATCGAGCTAGGAGTTGGCGATATAGTGTGAATACTATCGGCCGACATTACGAAGATCTGTCTCGATCAAAGGGATGAAGCTGGCCAGCAAGCACAAAAGGGAGAAAATATCGGCCGCTCCAAGATTAGCACTATTATAAAAAAAAATGACAGGAAGGCAATAGTCCTATCATCATTTATGGTTAACGATGATTTCTTCTGTTTCTGAAATCGTACTTTTAGTTGCTGTTCTTTTGCCGAACAGGCCGCGAACGAAGATATCAAAAAAAAAAAAAGATCTGTACCTGTATAAGTATACTTATTAATATTTGATTAATTTGCCTAGTAGTTAGAATATTCTATACTTAGGGGAAGTGTTGTTTTGAGTGACGATCGCAGTAGACCTTTCGAAAACACCCGGCCAAGTCCTCCCTGCCAGTTAGGCTGACGAGTGTTGACAAATATCAATGCCGATGCATAAACAGCACGAGCACATATATTGTCCATTCTGTAATAGAAATGTTTCAGAATTTCCTAGTCGCTCTATCAGCCATTAGCTCTCGATATAACTATAGGATATTGTTAAATGAATTTATATACCGTAGCAAACTACCGCAACAAAAGCCATGTACGTTTGCCCTACAACTATCTTTGATTTGTGCGTCCTTACGTGCGCCTACTGCCGTTGACGTATTCTGCCAATATAATTGTACCAGTTCGGCCTGTTTCGCAGCGATCTAGATACAGATATAGACGCTTTATATATTTTTTTAATTGCATTTTTCTGGTGGAACATGGAGGCCAGCAGTAGCGGTAGCGGCAGGTTAATTTTATCGCCCATATGGGTCAGCTTGCTTGTTGGCACGGATGCCGAGACTTACCACAAATGTTATCACTCATTTGTTGACGCTTCGGATCAAATTTGAGACGCAGCTGCCCAGTGTTACCGCTTCTCTGGGGCTAGTTAACGAGCACCATAATAAAAAAAGGACACACCAAAGAAGACTCTTGACGGTTTGAGGCTGTTTTCCCTAGAGTTCCTTTGCTGCGCTTTAATATGCCGGCCTTGCGAGACTCATGCAATATATTTCAGTCGAGTAAAGCTTGTTGCGATCTGCAGCTGATTATTATTAATAATATATTAACCCAATAGAAGAATTAGGTATTCATGTATTGGCGAAAGAAGATAGGCAGGTAACAAACCCCGAGCTGGCTTTTGCTGTCACACCTTTCCAGCTGTACAGAGCACCGTGTAATTGAAAATGAAATTAAAGAAGTAGTAGAACTGATCTATCTTTTTGTCTTGCTAAGATTTTTTAGCATATAACATATCGTTCTCCTGAAAAGTCAGAGCGCCTCATTATCGTCGGGCGTTTTCTAGCGATCCATATTTTGTTTTCCAGCCAAAATGAGTGAGTTGCCCCGGCGTCCCCAATTTCAAGGCGATTACGGCGGAGAGGTTTTGACCTCCGTCGTTGCGTGCTGAAGCAGAGGTTTCGAAATACTGTATTTTCAAATTAGATGCTGATATATTCCTATGGAGCTGGAATGACCTATTGCACATATCTGTGGGCGCTCTTCCGATGACTGATATAGACGCGTAAGCTTTTGTAACGAATTCTAGCTTGTTCGGTTAATTAGAAACGTACTGTGTAATTGGTTCACAATTATTCAAATTTTACAGTAAAATAACCAGTAATAGTTCTGTCTAAGTATAAAGATCTTCAATTCAAAATCGTTCAGTTGAAAAATAGCTAACGTTACGCGTGCTAGCAAAGTACAACTATAATCTCAGCTCGTTCAGTCCTTACCTAAACTACCATCATCATACTTAACCCTTAAAGAGCCAGAACAAGCTGTTCCATGCATACCCCCATGTATCAGATATTTTGTTTTTTTTTTTTGAAAAAAAATTACTTCTACTCTCTTAGCATAGGCAGTGTAGATCCGAATGATCCAGTAGAATTTTGTGACAGAGGTACGGCGGTACCTGTCTACGCTTTCGTGTGTACATCTATTACAGGTACGACGAAAAAGGGACGGTTTGCCCTGAGTCAATTTGGTTAAGGGACTTGCGCGGTCTATGCTGCCTTTCTACGCGCCATCGTTGATGCGTTACATTGGTGCTCGATGAAGAGTTCATTATCGGGAAAGCTGCGAAACTCATTCGGTAACTCTCTAGCAATGCAGGTTACTGTCACCATTACATCACAATGAATCTAATTGCCAATCGCTACCTTAGCTGAGCAATATCAGGTTGCCGAAGACGGTAGGGCCACTCGTTCTTCGGATGTCTTCAAGTACCTTATGGCCTAACCGATGCATTCGCATGCATGAGACTATAGGTGCATTGTGCGATACGATATAGACTTACGCGGTCGCGCGTTAAACGTCGAAAGTAAATGATCAAACGTTGCTGAAGAAGACTCCAACGATCGCAGTAGTAACCCTCAGAAAAGAACCATACGGGATTCTAGAGGTTATTGTCAATAGAGTGCCAGTCGATGATGACCTCCTCGATAAATACACAATCTATTCCTAACCGGATGAAAGCATGATTAGTACGTCGGACGCGTGTGGCTTTCATTGGCGCGCACAGACATCGCTAGCTCTTTAATTCAACACTTTTTATGTCTGTTTCTTTTTCTATGCACGTCACTTTCTTATTATTAAACTTGCACTATCCTCTTGATTGATTCAATTTATCAAGTTCAGTTCTCGCAGAAGTGGGAAAAGTTGACCGTCATCAAATCGCATGAGCACCATAGCTCACCAGGGTCACAGTTTTCTATATAAGTACCCTCCATTTGCGCAGAGTGCTTTCTAGAGCGCTATTATCTATTCAGTGAACTCTCGCTACTGTGGTATTTGGTAGTACGTCCAGTCTCTTCCTTTGCAGGGAGAGACAATGGAGAGAGGTACGGCGTCAGGCACCACTTGTTGTGCTAATGGAATCAGCACCGGATAACGCCTTTAATCCGAGGTACGCGCGGGTCGCGTATAGCCGCACAATAGTAATCTGCGACGGGTTACCGCCAGTTACCGAGAAAAAAAAACGAGCGCTCTAAACGTTTGATTGCTGGTGCGTTACTGTGACGCGCGCGGCGTGTTCTTTTGGCAGTGGACTCGTGCTAATGGCGCTGCCACACTCGCCTTGGCCGATAGCCTTTGCAGCAGCTGTTGCTGCTGTGGGCCTGCGGGTCTGCGGCCGCCAATTTACTCGGCACGAACGGAAATCTCTTTTTTTTTTTCCATCTACACTACATTCCTCCGACTTGGTGAAAACCGTAGAAAAAAAAAGCTACCAGCTACTCACTTGCGCACTCAGGCACGGTCAATGAGCCAGTTACCGCTGTAAATCTATGACTTGCACAGACGACACGACCGCCCGATTACAAGGTACACCTGAACTAACTGATATCTGCGTTAAAGAGAGAGTTCAGCGGCCGGCGGCTCGCTAGCCACTGAATACTTCGGACGCTATTTTGTAGGCCAGTTGTATTGTAACAGCTTAGTATTTTCTTACACAAAAGCCGGAGTCACTGTTGGCGGCCGGGTCGCTGCCACGGAACAATCCAGCCGCCTAACTGAGCACCCGACCGAACCGCTCGACTCTGATCTGACCAGCGATCATAGCCCCATCTATATGTGTCTACCGCGTTGGCGTTGCCATGATGATGGTACGAAATTTCGCGTCGACCCCGTAGCTTGGCTCCGCTGCTGTCTTCGTTGTTGCAGCACGCGCCACTGAAAACGCCTGGCGACTTTGAGCCCGTCAGCGGTAACTGATGGTTGTCCATCTTACGATCGCTTCCGCTTGTCGAAATTGGTGATCGTTGTCGCCGTTGCTGTTGCGGTACGCTGCCGCTCCTAGCGGGTCGACGTGTTAGATTTTTCCAGTGGCTCTTGTTGCTATTGAACGCTGCCAAATGTAGCGACTCTAACAGGGACGTACAGGTAACGAATATACTTATAATGATCTGGTACGAATAGTACGAGTCTAATGATGATCATAATAACAATCATATTGTACAAGCAATAACAATGCTAGTTGGCGGACTGCAGCACTTCACGACCTTGGCGTCAAGGCAGCTCTTGAGGCGTCATAGAAGCGGCAGCAGCAGTAGCGTTAGTGACGGAATGGAGAGGGTAAGGATCACGTCACCGTCGCGCTATTGTTTACCGGACGCGTGTTAGCGTTGAGCTCTGGAGTACTCACCGCTGAAATAACAAATTATACAGATACAACAACTAGCCGTCTCAGGCCCGTTGGACAGCAGCGTAATAGGCCCAGGCCTGCGTTTGAAGATGCTACGAAGGATATTACCATCGCCGCCGCTGCCGTCATTGTATAGCTACTCCTGCTAATAGTGCCAGACCAAAATACAAATCGACGACAGCGGCGGCACCGTGAATCGTTGCCAATAACCGTCGTTGTTCCTCGTTGAGAGCGCTATGGAAATGCACGAAAAAATTGATGTTGTTACTGGCCTTTGAAGCGAAACGCTTCATTTTACTCCATTACGAAACAATAACAGTAACAATGACGGAAAAACGTAAAACATGCGTATCGTATGTCAAACGAGAAAACTTATTCGAACAACTAACATAGAATGGAGTAGAGTAAAATGAAAATACTAATTAGATGTCGCTGCTACTGATTAATAAAGCTATATAGCGAAAGCCATTAGGGTAACACGATTTTTAGTTGTGTTAGTAACGAAGGCTGCTTTATAACTAAACCGGCTTTTCGGTCCTGGTTTGGGTATGGTCTCGGCAAGCCAGGCAGGCTCATGACTGACATGCGTATGTCGAGGTATCATATATATCAAAAACACCTTACAGACAGATGGACAGAAACCGTCGTCCTAGAGAAAACGGTATAAGATAGTTCTGCCATAAGAATCTATGTGTAGACTACGGACGTTCCAAAGCAATCTGCAAGCCCCCCGACCGGTTGTTTGTAGGCGATAGCAACAGTAGCAGTAGCGGAAAATACAAAGTTTATGATATTCCTTCTAGTAGATTCATGCGCACTCGTCGAAATAGATATAGGGCATTGACACCGTACGCTCGACGACGCCGGCAAGCAAATGATAGATCTTTAATAGAGTATGTATTGCATGTGGCAATTGATTATGTGCCCACTATGCCTAAACTTGTATTTAGCGACTACGCACAGTGGGCAATAGCCTTTCATCAAACAACTAGAAAGAAAACAAAATCAGTTTTTGTCGCCTGGTCGGAACCTACGATCGGTCGATGTCACAGCTACGTACATAGAGTCTACGCGGTCCATTTTTCCGATAGCATCTCACTGGCAGCGGTGTCGATACATTGGCCTTGGCCTTCAGCCTTCCGGTGGTATGTATCGGCGACCATCAAGAAGTGTACATAGATCGAGTTGGCCTTAAATCAACGTCAAATAGACGTGCGGCCTACAGCCTCGAAGGGGCCGACAGGAAAATAGAGTTGATAGACAGTTGCCGGTGGTCACAGTGACATACGCGTACGTGTACGTATACGTATGGCAACGTTCAAACAGAGCGCAGTTCGGATATAAGCAAATGATATCAGCGAGTGCCTGCCTAACTTAACAGAAAGTACGAAACTAGGTGACGAACATTGACGAAATGACATATAAAAAAAGGATGAATGTAGGACAAGAGCCGACAGGGAAGCCAAGGCAGTGTGCGCGGGTAGACACACTTCGGAAGTGCTGGTAACCCATCTGACAAAATCCCTAACAGATGTCAAGCTCGAAACATTCGGTTAGTTCGCTAGAATGACAATTAAACTGAAAATAGAAGTGAAGGCAAATTAATAAAAAAAAAATCTGCTACCCATCGATGACTAGTCGCTCTGTATACTCTTATAACGATCTTTAAAATCATTTTGAACGGCTAGATAGAAACAAACCTCGTTCCACCGGGACGGACAGACTTGTTTCTACTAGCAGTTCTCTGAATCCTGTGTCCTGATAGTGGATCTAGATTATCACAATGTTCATAGCTAGCATATTGTTCCCGGCGAACTATCACAAAATATTATACTGTAGATACATTTTATAATTCCCGTAGTTTGTAATTTGACATATTGTATACCAGTGGTATCCAATACAGGCTTTGCTCGTTCTACTCTATCGCCAAAAATTAGAAACACATCGTGTGTTGACGTTACACGTAAACACCAAACCATCTGTAACCATCGTGGAAACGGTTCCCTGCAAACGGGTCCTTTTCGAAAAAAGCAAATGAATAACACAGGCCATACATTTTTCTATGCACTGCCATATTCGTGACAAATATAAAATGAGCGTTAGTTATTATATAGGATAGATAGTCTGCCGTAATGGCCCTTACCAGAGTCGGACAGGCAACAACGCTTATTGTGTTGAATATCTATTCTTTCCTCGGGTTTTAGTATTCACTGCTATTCCTGGGCTAATTTTTAACTTCGTATTTTCAAGTGATTCAAATCTATTTGAACCTATTTCCCATGCTTTTTTCTTACTTACCGAGTTTTCGTAGTGGTGTCTCTTTATCGCGCGCTATTGGTAGCGAATATCCTCGATCATCTCGACCACTTGAGCGGACGCAACGCGGGGACGCCCGCGCTCCTGATCCCAAAAAGCAGTTCTCTCAACCAGATATCTCGGTAGCCTCAATAACTTATCTCCTTACACGTGCAATTCAATGGGCAAACCTGTTTCTGATACGGTGACGACAAGCCAGATTCGTCTTTCGCTGTCGACCCTTGTTAGTAATGTCATTGCTTGGAAGTGAACTTCGTGTACATTTGGTCTCTTTCTTCCTTTTTTAGATATAGGTCTAATCCGCTCGCTACGAAAGGTCCCTGTTACTTGTGCCCATCCTAACGACGAAAAGGGTTGAGGACGACAGCCGAAACGATCCGGTTTGTGCTAACTATGGCTCAGCTATATTTCGGCTGTGGAAAAAGATCTTCAATACCAGTGCAAGCATCCAGCAAGAACCCGAAACACTAACGGTTCACTCAAGGGAATAGATACCGAAACCAGCCAGTCTGACTGACTTGCACACTCGATAAACGAGTTAGATGTTTTTGCATTAGCATGGCCAACACAGTCAACTGTGCTACCATGACGTTACTCCCCAATGCTCGGGGCGGGGGAGACAAACAAACAAACAGACAGACAGAAGGTCGTTCAGCAGCACCGGAGAAAGAGTTTGGCTTTTTGCAGGGAGTTTTTTTGGGGCACACGTGCGGAGAGGTGGAGGGCTAGAGATAAGCGGGGGACGGAGAAAGGAACATTGATAGTGAGTGAGGCATCCATGCTACTGGCGGTGCAAAAGCGTTCTTGATTGTTCGCTACGAGCGAGATTCTAGCTGCTCCAGGCAGCGTGAAGATGACAGCGCGAAAGGAAATACCGAAAGAACGAATCACAGACATCTATGGGACTGAATCGGAAAACGGAAACGAACGAGCCAGAACGCGCAGTTGTAAAAGTAGCAGCCATTGCTGCCGCCTTAGCACTACCGTATCTGTTACCGTTTCATGTGAGTTAGTGCTACATCAGAAGGCCTTTGCCTTCGCTTGTGAAATGGAGACGAAGGAAGTGGTTGTACTGTACTGTCTATTATATGAGATATACAGCTAAGTTTTTTTTAATCGAGTCGACAAAACTTAACAAGGAACAGCGTTAGCTGCGAGAAACCTAGTACATGCCGACAAAGTGATTCTATGTTTGGCCGGCACCACGTCTGTCTCGTGTGCGCTGTCCAACGGCGACACGAAGCGAGGCCGAAATTGCCTTCATATAGAAGCGTAGCTAATGTTAATCATACAGAGACGCTTGATGGCTTTCTATTCGCTTTCGCTTGATACAGTAAAAACGAAGCCAGCTATAGTCACGCTGATCGGTGCTTGCTATAAAAATACAGGTGGAGAAAAGCAATGCAAAACGGAATAAAGGAAATGACCAAAAAATTGCTAGTTTTTTTCTTCGCCTACTCACTCGTGCTTTTTTTGGGCTTTTTACAGTTCTTTGATAGATAAACACGAGCGCGGCAGGCACAGAGTGATCCTATTGGCCGATCTGGCGCACGTTGCTAGCAGCAGTGGCGAGACCTAGTGGCACATTATGGAAAGGACATAAATGCAACCCTGTGCGAAAGGCGGACACGGCGATGTATTATGGCACCGAAGCACTAGGCCACACCCGCGAAACTTGAGAGTGATATGGACTAGTCTGGCGACGACACCGCTGCATCAGT